GAACTGGAAACACAGGGAATCCAGGACATATGAACCCTTCAGAGCCAGTGGAGAGAGTGGCGATACTGGGAGGGTGGAGGCAAGGTGGGGTAGAAAGGGGGAACCAATTACAAGGATCTACATATAACACCCTCCCTGGGGGACAGACAATAGAAAAGTGGGTGAAGGGAGACGTTGGACAGTGTATGACATGACAAAATAATTTATAAATTATCAAGGGTTCGTGAGGGACACAATGCTTGACACATGGATGGATGGATAAATTGTGATAAGCGTTTTATGAGCCCCCCATGAAGTGATTATAAAACAATAACTCCCTAGCCTGGCCAGACCAGAGGACCTCAGCCCCTCACACCTTCCCAACTTCAAGGACCTGCTCCACCCACTCACTCCTCCAATCGGTGCTCCCTGTGGCTCTGCCATGGCTGGGATCCAGGTGTGTGGGAGGATACAACAAGGAACGGAACAGGGTCCTAGTCCCGGAGCAGCTGGCAGCCTCATAGCCTGTACTATCAGTCAGATCCTAATGTTTCAAATGTTGGGTCTGTCCGACAAGGGGCCTTCTAGTGATCACTTTAGCTCCACTGGTCACTTCAGCGACTCTGCCAAGAAGGTACCCTACGGTAAAGCACAGTGCTGGAGGCGGGCGAGTTTGTTCCTAAGACCTAAGAAACCCACCGGGAGCCCAGTCCAGGGCTACTCACGGCTGGGGAGCCTGCTTTTTTGCCGCAGTTTACACACCAACTCAGAAGTTAGCTGGCACCCGGCCAGGCCAACCCCACAGACACTCCTGCATCCTGCGGCTGTGTGATCGCGTTGCCTCCACGTCCCTGCCAGACCCCATCATCCGCAGCTCCCAGCACGGCACACTGCAGAGCACAGGCATGCACCACTTAGCACATTCTGTTGATTTGGGCATTGTGCGGACACCATGTTTGAGACAAAGGGGCTTCAAAAGTGTGTAGAACAATCCTATTAGCTTTTAATTCTGTGTTCCGTACACTTTTAGAAGCCCTCTTGTCTGGGAGGCTACAGACAGGTAGCGGGCGGGCCTGGGGTCCACACCACCCCAACCACACAGAGAGAATGGGTAACCGCTTTGACTCTACTGTCTCGGGTCCTGCACGGTCTCTCTCTGCAGTGTGCCCACCTGGTCCAACCACAACAGCCTCACCCCTTACTTCCTCCTGGCGTGCCTTCCCACCCGAGTGGGTTTTAAACTCTTCCAGTCCCACCTACCCCTCCTCGGCTTCATGCCCCTGCTGCTGTTCCTGCTTGTCCTACTACACCCACAGCCCTGGGCTACCACAGCAGGAGCAACAGTGGCTGCTGGCCCAGGCATTACACACGGCACATGGGACAAACAGGGAGCCCCCTCCTGTTCCTACTACCTCAGGGTCAAGCAGACATAGGACTAGAGAGCCAGTGAGAGGCAGATCACATTTCTGTACTCAGACAGGTTCTCCTGCTACATCCCACTCTTTGGTTGCAATACCTGACGGTCCTAACCTTACGGGAGCACGGGCGTACATGCAGTTGGTTATTGCCCTAAGAGATAATAAGTGGTACAGAACGGTGGTAAAAACTATCAGGCACATTTGTTCTGAATGTGGGATTTGAGGCAGATGGTTTCAGCGTATGGCTTGTGCAGACTCCAGAGCTGCTAGGAATGATACCCTAGCAGGCACTGGACCGCCACTCCCTATCAGGTCCTCCGGGAGGAGGCCAACATTCTCTGGCCCCCACTTCGGGTGGGAGCCACGGAAGGATCCGCCCCACTCCCTTGGCTGCCCTGTGAGCTCCAGGAGTCAGTGTCACGACGCGTTTTTACATGTACGTTTGTCCTTGCTCAAGGAAACCACCCTCTCAAGTAGCGGTTGGTGTCGCTGGTATGTTACCCTCGGGGATTAAATTACTTCTAGACGAGTTGCTGCTTTACCCCTGACCTCCTCTTCTCTAACGCAACACCCTTGCCATATAAGGGAAAGTGTTCTTAATTGTTCTCTGATTGCATGTCTTAACGGTTTCCTTGTAAAGCCTCCTCGGCGTCCAGGAGGAGTAATAATTAGTTCGTTTCTGGTGGTCGAATACTCTCGCCAAGCGAAATTCCTTCCAGGTACCCAAAGAACCCTTTCCTATTCTGGGAGGTCCTAGACTAACAGCACACTTTCTTGGGCCCCCGGCCTCCTGGTCTATGCAGCTCCCCCAGTCAACGGTGAGAGCGGACGGGCGGGGTGTGCGCGACAGAGCTGTTGTGACCCCCAGAACCAGACCAACACGTTCTCATTCAGAGATTTTAGAATACACGTCAACCCTTTCTCCAGGAAAACAAAGGCACCACAATAAAATATCACCGCCAGTAAAATGTCCATTTAGCCAGGAGGGTGGAAGGAAGAGAAAATAGGTTTTGCCGTTGGACTTTTCTCTAAAGAAAGATATTTCAGATTATATCTCGTACGTATAGCTTTTCAAAAATTCACACTGGCATTGGGTGGCTACGCAAGGTCAGCCACGGGAAACCGCCAGCGGCTCTGCGGGAAAGAGAGGAGATGTCCCACGCCAGCAGCCAGTCACCGTCTCGGAAACCTCCAAGGGCGCGCTACCTGCTTCACAGGGTCGCTAGGCGTTGGAATCCACGCGAAAGCAGTGGTTTGTTACGTTTTACCCACACTCCACCCACACTCCTTACTTAAGGATGGGGACATTAGCTTGCTTCTTGTAAAACCTACCTGTCCTGCCTGGCCTCCTGTGGTGGGGACAGGGACGACGTGGGGGTGGTGGGCACACTGGTCCCAGGCGAAGGTCTAGAGGAGTGATACGAGTTGTTGCCGAAGTTGCTGTATCTGAAGCGTGTATGTTGGGAGGAGGAAGAAAAGAACATGAGGACAGGCTGGTAAATGAATGTAAGACTTAGCAAGCCATCTTCATTTTTTCAAAGAAAAAGAAATTACAACAGGTCTGAAAACACCACCTTTAAGGATTATTTGCCTCAGCGATTGACTAACTGCTTTGTTTAGATCATGTTTTTACTAGAGACATTTTCTAATGTCTCGAACTATTAGGGATATTTATGGCAAAGAGTTTAAACCAAACCTCCCATGTCCTGTCCTTTTTAGAAGGTATACTAAAACTCTTTGCTAACATGAATGAAGAATCCAAATTGTTTCCACTTTTATGGTGAAGATTTTTCCGGCTTCTCCTGGTACTACCAAAACAACAACAAACAAAACCAAAAATGTGTTGCCACTGAGTCGATTCTGACTCATATAGACCGGCTGGGTTTCGGAGGCTAACTCTTTACTGGTGTCGGCACCTCTTCTCTCGCCCTGGCAGGAGCCGGTGGGTTCGAATGGTTGACCTGAGGTTAGCAGCCCAGTGCTCAGCTGCTACATCCACCAGGGTTGGAGGACAAGCAGCCACACAAATGTACTTCTGCCTCGTGGTGACCCTACAGGGCAGAGCAGAGCTGCCCACAGGGTTGCCGAGACTCATCCATGTTAACTTGAGTGGGAAGCCTGGTCTTCCTCCTGTGGACTTGCTGGTGGTTTCAAACTGCTGGCCTTGCAAGCTGGCAACCCAATAAGGAAGCCCCTACGCCACCAAGGCCCCTGGTGTAACCATGGGTGTTAATCCCATAGAAGGCTCTGTACACATTGTATGAGTTAAAGGGTCTCTCTCTTCTTTAAATGTGCTGTCAGGCATTTGGGGGTCAATTTGATTCGTTAAGCTCAACTCCACTGCGTGCTCTGCGATCCACGTGAAACTTCTCCGGGGTCTTCCAGATTGGTTGGCTTCATGCATTTCTGTTTTCCAGCCAATATTTTCCCTGGGCCAAAATCACAGCCACCAGGTTTCACCAAAGGTGTCCAGGTGGCAGAGCTGCGAAATGAGGGGCTGGTGGCTGGAGCCCACCGTCGCTCAGGGAAGAAAGCCCAGGCCGTCTGCTTCCAGGAGGATGCAGCCTTGGGAGCCCAGTGGGCAGTTCTACTCTGTCCCGTAGGGTTGCTATGAAACCAGAACCAACTCAACAGCGATGGGAGGTTTCAGCTGACATCGCTTGCTCCTGGTCCTCTCTCACAAAGCCCAGGATTCCTACCATGTTGGAGGGTTCCTCTGTTCCTGCTCCCTCAGTTCTTCAGAACAGACATCCTTCACCAGTTTCTATTGAGCTATTACCATCCAAATCCCTCCTGGCAAGCAAGTCATGAAGCCACGAGGAAGAAGGGAGCGCTAGACCGGTGATCGCACAATTAATTTTAAAGGCGATTTAACCATGGTGGGGTACTCTAAAATTGATATGGTGATGATTGTACAGTTTTTGATATGATTGGATGATTGAACTATTGAGTTGTATGATATGTAAATTATGCACCAATAAAACTGTTGGGAAAAAGAAAAGGCAGATACAAAAAAGCGAGCAGAGAAGGGAGGGAACATCCCCCCCCAAAAAAAATGCACAAAGAGGAGGGAGAAAAGCTGGGCAACAAGCCCTGTGATGCAGGAAGGTAAGGAAGCATCCAGAAAGAAGTTTCCAGAAGCTTCTGACAGACCAGGTCTCTGATGCCTGTTGCCTCAGTCCTGGTCCACCCCACTACCTGGTCTCTCAGTTTGTGATTCTAGCCACACATCTCAAACAAACCCTTTCCCGACCTAAGTGAACATCCTGCAGTATGTTTTAACAAAACTGTTTGGCTAAAATTACATTTAGATGATGTTACAGAACCCAAACCAATATAATGTGTTTTCCCACTTTTGCATTTCCTAATGGCTGAGCAATTCGTTCAACTGCCTCATGATCTGTCCAGTTTTCATTCCCAATCTCGGTCAAACTAACTGGATCATACAATTTCCCTTTCTAATGACTAACTCGTTGGGCTCTATTACACATGTTGCAGTCAACCACCAAGTAAGCACATCTGTGGCTAGGCAGGCCCACGGAAACCACAGCCAGTGGACACCAGAACATTCAATAGGTATAGATAATATTTGGACAGTATCTAAATTCCTGTCAGAAAATGATATAAAAAGATGTAAACTTTGCTCCGTCAAATCCATGTCAGCCCTCATTTGCAAGCATGTGGTACTGTCGCCTCGATCTGCACGTGTCTGCGTGTGACCTATCTGCCTGTCTCTACGGCTCCCACACCTCGGGGCTGTGAGCAGAAGTGCAGCTTGGAGACCACGTCAGGTGGGACCTGGGCCCCGGGAAAGCCCCTCTGTGGTGGCGAGACCATCCTCAGGAAGCCCAGGATCAGCCCTGTGGGCGAGCACCACCCTGCTTGGAAAGACCAGATGGTGAGTTCCAAATCCGCACACAGATGTCGTTCTTGGAGGACACGGGACTCGTGCTGGACGTCTTTGACAAGAATTGTATGGAAGCTACAGCAGGGGTCCCGTAACCGTAGTCCTGCGAGAGGCCTGGGTGGAGCTTCTCAGTTAGACACAAGCTCACACATGCTTTTGTGAGTGCAAAGCCATTCTGGAAACCAGAGGAAATGAATGTTCAAATCCTCAATTTCCATCTCTGCTCCTTCGGAAAGTGTCTCTGACTGTGGGTGCTCCTGGGGTCTCCTGCTCTTCCTCCCCTTTCCACACCTGCCATTCATTTTTAGGGGAAAAGGGGAACATTCTCAACCTCTCTCAATCTGTGTCTGGGGTGCTGTTGACGTCTGGCTGCAAATGCCTGCAGCGTAACAGTGAAGGAATGACCTGGGAACTCAGGAGACCCTGCAGGAGAACGTGGATACTTTTTAATCCAGGACAAGCTCACCATGAGGGCCCCTGCCTGGCTTCTATCTGCCCACCCTGTGCTCTCTCTGGGTGGCTTGGCTCTTTGTTCCCTCATTCAGAGTGACTCAAACCCCAAAAGTAAGATGTTCCTCTCTGGATGCCTACTGGCTGGCTCACCTGAACTTCACCAAAGTCAGGTTTTTTCTCCCTAACAAAAGTTAGGTCTCACTTGATTTAGCACTAGCTTTGCCAAGTAGGCATATGTGTTAGTGAGGAGCCCTGGTGGCACAGTGGGTCACCAGCTGGGCTGTTGACCAATAGGTCAGCTGTTCAAACCCACCAGTTACTCTGCAGGAGAAAGATGAGGCTTTCTGCTCCCATAGGAACGTACAGCCTCAGAACCTCACAGGGCCCGCTCCACTCTGTCCTACAGGGTCGCTATAATTGGATTTGAATTGATGGCAGTGAGTTGGTTTTAACTTTTTTTGAGGTGTGAATGTGTTAAATCTGAAGTTCTAAGGTTACGACAAAATTATTTTAAAAGGCATATACTATATACAAATTGCATCTTTTACAACTGTCCATACTTACCATTAAAAAGCTTAAGAATGTAAAGCTTTGAGGAAATTTTCCAAGTCTGTTAGGTTGTAAGTAAGCAAAACACCACCACCACCCAATTCTACATTATTCCTCCCATTTATCGGGGGAAAGCCTGTAGACTACTGTCCGTTTTCATGAACTGCCTTCCAGGTCCAAGTCCTATCGACTTCTGCTCAGAGCAAGGGGCAGCTTCTCGCCTTGCATCCAGGCAGTGGGGCCCCCAAATTTTCATGAGCAGATGGGCCAAGATAGAAACATTTTAGGGCCCCGTGGTGAGATGTGCAAACTGAGCATTTCAGTGGCGATGACTTGCCCGGGACCCGTGGCAGGCAGCAGCCAGGCGGGGGCCTTGTCTTGGAGCCCAGTGGTGGACAAGCCCACCCAAGAGGCAACGTGACAAAGAGCAGTACAGCACCGGGCACCAGTTAGAACCAAACTCCGGACCAGGCTGCCCGGGCTTGGTACCACTCCCTACTTATTGACTGAGTGGCTCTGACAAAATGACTCGTCCTCTCGGTCCCGTAGTCTTATCATCTGTGGTGGTACCACGGTTAGCCGCTTGGCTGCTAACCCAAACATGGGCGGTTCAAGCCCACCCACTGCTCTGAGGGAGAAAAGCCCTGGCAAACAGCTCCTGTCAAGGTTGCAGCCTGGGGAGCCCTCAGAACATTCTGCTCTGCCCTGCGGGGTTGGGAGGATTCAGAATCGACTAAACCGTCATGGGTTTTGGGACTAGAACCTGGATTACATGATGCTCACAAGGGTTCATTTCATGAAAGTACAGAATTTGGCTGACCATTAAAAAAAAAAGCAAAAAGTAAACTCACTACAGCCATGGAGTCGATGGGGACTCATAGCAGCCCTACAGGTCAGGGAGGAACTACCTTGTAAATGTCCGTAACCGTAACTGTTTATAGGCGTCGAAATCCCTGTCTTTTTCCCATGGAGCAGCTGGTGGATTTGAACTGCTGACGTTGTAGTTAACAGCCAAATGTATTAACCACTAGGTCACCAGCGTGCCTCCACTTTACCATACATGCTCAATAAATGAGCATTTCCTATTGTCACTCTCAGGCAAGGATGGCCATCGGAATGACTGGAATTATTATTGATTTGGAGCACTATGCAAAGCCTCTCTGCCATGACCCCATCCCAGCCACGAGCTCCTCATTCACGCAGGAGGGAGGGCAGGGGGCTGCTGTGCACACAGGTGTCCAGTACCGATTGACATGGCTGAGTACCGATTGATGTGCTTCCCGCTGCCTGCCTGTGTCCTGGGAGGCGGGCAGCAAGCAGTGTATTCCCATAAGGAATTCCTAAGCATCTGAAATGGTGTTAATGCCTGCAGTGATTCAAATAGGAATGGTTTGAGCCATCTTCTGGAAAGCAACGAGCAACCCTTAAAAAGGGAGAAGGCATTCGGTAGAAGATGAAACAGGAAGCGATAGAACAGGGAAAGGAAATACAGAAAAGGCACACCCACCTGTTAGAAGAGAAAGACCGGAAGCTGTAAGGTTCAGAGGCAGAGTGTGCGTTCAGATGGCTGGGATCTGAGGGGCTGTGAGAGAAAGGAAAAACCCACTCAAAACGCTGCACATAGAGACAGCACGGTGCCTGCCCTGGAGGTCGGGGAGGCCTATAGGCTGGGACAGCTCAGACATACATGTGTGTGTCTGTGTCCGACTCTATAAAGCTCGGTATTTTCTCCTGGGGTTATAACAATCTCTTCACCTCGGAGAGTTGGCATCTTATTTAGTCAGGAACTTAGTTTATGCCACCAGGGCACCGGGCTCTGAAATCCCCCCCGCAAGGCAGTGAGCACTGGGGTCGGGTCGGGCCTCCACCGGGTAGCTCTACCTGCTTTCCTTCTGGGACTCTGCGTCCTTTTCTTTGGTGGATAAGGGAGAATCCTCAAAGTCATAGGAGAAGAGGTGGAAGGGGCTGTGGGGCACGTAGGGCAGCTTGTCTATGGTGGGCGATGCCTTCCGTGGGCCGGCTGTGGTGGAGGCGGACTGAGTGGGCGAGGCTGGGGCTGGTGGCAGCAGCAGGGTGGGCTGGGTGGTCCAGATGGAGGACCCAGGTCCCGAGGACCCACTATCCGAGGGGCCCTCCACTGGAGCGCTGGCCAGAAGCCACTTTCCATGGGAGGCTGTGCCTGGGGCAGCTGGGAGGGCTGGCTCAGGGGGTCCGGCATCCTTTGTGGTGAGGTTCTGCTCAGAGGCAGGGTGGGGCTCGCTGCAGAGAACAGTCCACCAGGAAGGAGCAGGGAAGAAAAAGGCAAGAGGGTGCAAAAGTTAGAGAAGAGAGAGAAGTATGAACCCTTCGGCTGTGCCGAGCACGTACTTCAGAGTCCGCCGTGCTTCTGCACTGCCGCCTATCGTCTGCTGTGAGTCCCCGAGCCCTGGGTTTGCTGATACAGGAGGTAAGACTTGGAGAGGGCAAGGGAGTAACCATAGCCCCGCAGACCAAGGTCGGCTGTGTGCATATGCTGGCCTTTGTGAGGGGACTTAATGGCTTCCAAAGACTCTTCTATCCACTCACCACCCCACCCCCAAGCTTCTCCCCGCTGGGTGTGCTGGGACCTGAATCTCCCCAGCTTGAGCTCCATTTCTTGGTCTTGGCCAAAGAGAACCTCTGGGCTCCTGTTAAATAGCCAACCCTTGAAGAAGCAGTTTCCCACAAAGCCCTACTCTTCAGACTTCCCAACCCCGCCCCGCTAAAAACCAGCCCCACTGCCATCGGGTCCAGCCTGACCCATCGCAACCCTATGCAGGGGCTCTGAGACTGTCGAGCTTTAAGGGAGCACACATCCTATCCTTCCCACACAGATGTTTGGGCCATTGGCCTGGTGATCAGGTGTCCAACGGGTACCCAGCAGCAGCCCCAGGACACAGATACTTGTATGTGTGTCTGGCTGCTGGAAAGTTCTTTCATGACCCCGGGCAGGGATTGAGGGAGAGGAGAGCAGATGCCAGCAAAGGATCAAAGCACAGAAAAGGAGAGGCTAGATTGAAGGAAGACAGCAACTTCTGGCCCTGGTGTGCTGTCCCCAGGCCAGAGCCTACCTCTGCCAGGAATCCTGACTTTCACAGGCCAGTTACAGTTTGAGGACCTTCCATCTTCAGGGCACTGGACTTGAACCACTGAAATATGTTGACCAAACTCAGTTCTGACTCATGGGAATCCTACAGGGCAGCAGTTCTCGACCTGTGGGTCGCAACCCCTTTGGGGGTCAAACGACCCTTTCACAGGGGTTGCCCGACTCATAATAGTAGCAAAATGACAGTGATGAAGTAGCAACGGAAATAAGTTTATGGTTGGGGGGTCACCACCACATGAGGAACTGTATTAAAGGGTCACGGCATTAGGCAGGTTGAGAACCACTGCTACAGGGTAAGGTAGAACCATCCCTGTGAGTTTCTGAGACTATAACTTTTTACAGGAGTAGAAAGCCGCATCTTTCTCCGGAGGAGCTGGCTGGTGGTTTCTAACTTCTGACCTTGAGGTTAGCAGCCCAAGGCATAACCACTACACCACCAGAGCTCCAAAACATTGTTACCTTCATAATCAGAGAATTTATGTTAGACTTTGCATGTATTCACAACAACAGCCCCTCTCTCAGAAACCTGGCCCAATCACTCCCCCATAAGTGGGTGGACAAGGGGATCAGAAGAGCCCAGCCCCATGCTTGGCAAAGAGGTGCTCTCACAAACAGAATTAGAGGGGAAGGAGAAAATCCTTTCTGCCACTTTAATTAAGGCAGGGGTCCTCAAACTATGGCCCGTGGGCCACATACGGCCTGCTGAGGACATTTATCTGGCCCGCCGGGTGTTTTTGCTGCAGCTGCGTGTCCTGCTTAGCAGCCGACTCTTCCAGTGTGCATAGGAATTTGTTCACAGTTTTTTTAAAACTATAGTCCTTCTCTTCAACGGTCTGAGGGACAGTGAACTGACCCCGTTTAAAAAGTTTAAGGACCCGCTTTAAGGTTTACCTTAGAGCACAAAGCCCATTTGCTGACCTAGGTCAATGCTTGTCTTAGTATTGTCAAGGTTAAGTACTGGTGTTTAATACTCTGTCTCTAGGCTTTCTTCCTTAGAGCCACTGGTGGTTTTGAACTGCTGACCATGCAGGTCGCAGCCCAGCGTGCAACCACTATACCACCAAGGCGCTTGGTGTTTAATAGGCATACCTTTATTGCCTAAAAAGGAACTGCCTAACTACAGTCTCTGAGAAAGAGTGTCATGGGGCAAAAGTGTCCTCAGGCACACTTCTGAGATGAAGAGAAACGACCATCTGCTTGTGTATGAAACAATCTGGGGCAAAGACAGCAATAGTCTGCCTTCGAAGGCTTCCCTTTCCAGGCTGGTGCTCCTGTCTGGTGCGTGAGCTTCAGCTTCACATGCGTGGGCAGAGCAGGGGCTTCTCAGCACATTTCCTGTGGATCACTTTATGCATAATGTGGGACGATGGTCAATCAGTCAGGTCCTCTGCCCTACTGAGCACCTCAGCTAGTGAACCACTCCCCATAAGCAGGGACAATCAGTCAATCACTATCTACACTGGCGGCTTTATCCCTCTTGTTCAGACATGCGGGGCTAACTCTTTTTCTCTCCTTACATCCATCTCACTCGCTTTTTTCATAGAAATCTCCAAAGAAAGCAAGCGACCTTTAGTGTGTCAGATCCCTTATCCCATTACCCCTGAGCATTGTGTGAGTCTCAGTGTGCAAAACACCTAGTTGAGAACTACTATGTGCCTTGCTGGCATGGCAGATGAGACATCAACAATATGGAATCCCTTAAGTGGAGAGCAAATGTTTTGAGAATGATGAGGGCAATGAATGTACAAATGTGCTTACACAATGGATGGATGTATGGATTGTGATAAGAGTTGTATGAGCACCTAATAAAACGATTAAAAAAAATCCCTTCACCTTCAAAGCTGACAAGAGAAAAAGATCTTACGCAGACCCACCAAGATCCTTTAGCTTGTACTTGTTGGGAAGGCAAAACTAACGGTAAAAATGTCAGCTGGCAGTGGTGGTCAATTAAGTAAAAACACCATCCAATTCTAGGAATTCTGTTGTACATTAAAAACCAAAATTACCCATGGTCAATTTTTATATTTCATACAGAATTCATTCTGGAAAAACTCCAACAAAAGTCAAAAGGCTCAAAGTACTGGTGTCTCTTAAACTTGCCCGAGCTAGAAAGCACACACGTTGGTCAGATGAGCAGAGGACCAAAAAACTTCCCCAAAGGCTGAACAGCTCTGCTAGTTGTTCTGGGTATGAACATAAACACCAAACTTTTTCTCTGCCACATGAAGTGAAAAACATTCTAGTGCATTTGTATACACAATAAACCTAAATCACAAGCACAGTAATCATCCACACATACTGGATTGGCAGAATTAGTATGAAGAGAAGACACATGGGATTAGTAGTGTTATAGTGCTAAAAGGGTTAACATTTTCTGGGTAGAGAGGAATACATTTTAGTCACTGTTTAAGCTCAAGCACTCCATGTGGGGGAGGGAGGGCAGTGAAGGAAAACCCATTGGCTGATTTTCCCATAAAGTGTGGTCTAAGAAGGAGGGATTTGCTTATAAGTGCAATTTGCTATTGAAAGCATGCACAATTGCTTATGCAAAACTAGTCACTCAGGGCTCTGTGCACAGGGTCAGTAAGGTTGGCCAGGAGAGCTAGTGAGGGAGGCAGGAGTTTATTACAAAGTGGCTGCAAACTATTCATTCAGAAGGAGACTCTGAATTTTAGTGTGAGCCTGGGAGGGCCCTGCCCTCGGTACCTGTCCTTGCCCTGACAGGGAGCAGGGTCATCTTTCTCCTCCTCTGAATTGGGCTCCGTAATTGGCTGTTCCTCTTCCTCCTCCTCCTCCTCCTCCTCCTCCTCCTCCTCCTCCACCCTGAGATGATGCCAGGAAAAGAGAAATGCACATAGAGACAAGATGGAGAAGCAAGATGAGCGTTACCGACAAACAGGAAGATGAAGAACAACAAATACAGGTGACAGAAATGAACACAGTAGACCGAACCTGTCAGGAAAGAGGGCAGAGTTGTCAGATGGGAACTTTACAAGGTGGTATGAAGATGCAAAGCCCAGCAAAGACCAGATTTCTGCATCCCCCTGCCTTCCACACAAGTTGCCGGCTTTGGGCGGGTCTCGTTTGGCTTTCCTCTTCTATACAGAATCACCAGTGAACGTTGGTGATGGCCAGCTCCACAGCCTGAAGTCTTTACTGTATCCCTTCTTAGTGAGAAACCAGTGAGGGCAGGCCAGTCTGGAATTGACTGCCTTCCATGGTGGGCAGGCGGCTTTTGTCTGCCACTCCCTCATTCTCCAGTGTGGCTCAGGAGGGGTGATCACTTTCGCATCAAGCATGGGCACGTGGTCGGGGTGCGTGAGCCAGTGCGTGCCACCCCTGGGATTTCTCTTGGCACCTTGAGAGATTGCTTACTAGCTGTAAGGACATCCTAAGTCTCAAGCTGTCTGTGCTTCGAGGAGAGGGAGGCTGTGAGTGAGGATCATCCAAAGTCTTAATAATTGATCCATGGATTTCAGAAAAATTCCTGGATAGAACCTAAATATGTAAAAGTACTTTGAAAAGCCATGATAGATAGTAAGCAAATCAGTGTATTTTCGCTATTAGCTATCAAAATCATCTTGATCATCACCATCTTCAGGAACTTCTGAGGCAATCTCTATCTCACATTCCTAATTAGACAAAAGAACTGAGCTAAGGGAGAAGGCCCCCTAGTCTCAAAAGCGCTCCCCACCCCTGACAAATAGCCAGGCTTTCCCTTTGATAATGCCCACCAATTTAACCTTTTCATGAGTTTTTTTTTATATGCCTCTGTCTTTCAAGTAGCTGTTCCACCAATGTATGAAGAGAGCTCTCCTGGCCCACATGCTGAGAAGTCTCCTCTTTGGGCTGAGCAACTTCAGATCCTGCAAGAGAAAGCAACTTGGCTTGTATGTCTCAGCATGTTGCCTTCACTAGTGGCAGGCCACTGTCAAGGACAAGCAGCATTGCAACTCACTTAGAATCAGGACTGGGGATGCCCACTCCCAGGAGGCCCTAGCCTCTCCCTGCAACACAGAAGCATGCAGAAGGACATGTCCTCTCGTACACAGGGCTGTCTATGCTTGATTTTATGCACAGTCTCAGCCTGAAGATTTTACTGATTTCAGATGAAATCAAATAAAGCGAGTGGTTTCATGCTGATCGTAGTTAAGATTAAAGGTTTATCCAGATAATTTTACTTTCTCCTCAACCTGGATTTTTTCCCCTTAAAGTACAGCAAAAGTTTATTTTTATTTATGCTAAGGAATTCTGGGCATCTAGTCTTTGACTTTCAAATACGCCTAATGGTGTGGCTTGCTTTGGGTTTGCTTGCTCACAGTGACTCCAGGGCCCAGGTTCATTCTGAACCCAGCAGGTGTCTTCCTCTTCACCACTGAGAGGCCCAGGCTTCAGGCCACCCTTGTTCATGTTGGGAAGGGAAGCCAGAAGGCTGCAGCCTGATCAGTTCTTCAGGATACAGTTTTTAATCAAAGTCTATTTCATTTCCCCAAGTTTGAGTTTTTGGCTGATATCACATTTCTCAGGCTTCCAGAAACAAAAAAGAAATTGAACCCCGCTGTGTTAGGCAGGGTTCTCTAGAGAAACAAAACCAGGACACTTATGATGTTATATATATGGATAGATATATACAACACAATGAGTTAAACAGCTAATTAGTCCACAGAGCAGTACAGCTGGCTCAGTTCAACTCAGGTCTGTGAGCCAATTAACACACTGACAGTCCTGCAACTCATGAGGGCTGTTGGGTGCAAGTCAAGGAAGCAGACAGCTGAGTCTTCTGTAGAGCAATACAGGCAGTTCAGTCACAGGCAGCAAACAGCAGGGGGTCACCAACAGTCAGCCAGATGACAGGGTACAACAGTCCCCAGCTCAAGTGATGTATACACCAGCACTGTGACGAAGCAGGTCTCCAAGGAAACTCAAACTATAGTGACACGGTCCACGGGCTGGGTGTCCCACAGGTAGTGTAGCTCATAAGTAGAGGCAGAGAACTAGCTAAGGCAGTCACACACTGGTCCATCATCAGAGAGCAAGAGATGGAAAAGCAAGGCTCTCCAAGCCATTTATCTCTTTGTCCTTCAATTAAATGGAAAATCCCACATATGTCTATTGGCCAGGCTGGCACAATAAACCTACCTATCACACATGCTGAGTTACATTCAAAGTGCAAGAAAAGCACTCAGAACAAAGTTAAAGCATGTACCAGGACCAAAGATACCTGTATGAGAAGTCAAAAGAAGTGGTAGCAGCATCTGCAACACTATGAGTGGATATAAACTCATATCAAGACTAAGTAAAAACGTATTACTTTTTTATCAATAAAAAGACAATTATAAAAGTAGGAAAACTACATGAGTGCATGAATATCGTCAAAAATCTTACCTGGAGAGAGATTTAACCTCACTGGATACCAGGGAACTATAAATTAAGTTGATAATGAGATTTTTTTCAATAACTTGGAAAAATTAAGACGCCTGATAATACCAAATGCTAAAGCAGGCATCGGTCAACTGGCTCTTAATATTTCTGATAGAGGAGTGTATACTGGTATAACCCTTCTGGAAGATAATTGGCACTGTTTCATTAAGTTCAAAATTTGTATTATGATCCAGCAATTCTACCTTTAGGGATGTGAGAGGGTTTCAAAAAGTCCGTGGAAATGTTTCATCATCTTTCATTCCATTTTTCCATGGAGTTCTGAACCCACCCCCCCTACCATTTGCGCAAGATCCTAAGGTGAAAAGATAAGGCTGCTTATGACCTTCCGGTGACCAGCTCCGGGCTCCAGTCAGCCCACACCTGCCTGGTGGCCACGCGGGCTGAAGGGAATTGATGTCTTGACACAGGGAGGACTCATTTGTGGCAGCTGGTTAGAAAACTCTGACTTAAGGCGTAGATAAAACACAAGACATACTCATTAATGCCCCATTTAGTTCTACAAAATGGGTTTGAATTCTATCATAATACTTGGATGACAACATATTTTGTTGAAACATTTTCCTAAATTTAAGGCAAATAACGAGCCCCTGGGCTCTGTCTGCAGGGGTAATCTCTTGGCGTTAGCGAATGCTGAAAGCTGTAGTTTGACCTTGGCTTTGCAGTGACTCACACTTTCTGTTAACTTTAGGGTTGTTTCTAAGATACCAGGGGACCAAAGTCAGATCTGAACATTTTCAATTAATGATCTTAATCAGTGAAGGCAAATTCTGGACGGACTGATGCAGTGACTTCATTTAAAAACAGAGATTTGTTACCCACCAAATAATAATAATAAAAGGTTTTTACCAGCCAAGAGAATGAAAAGACATCTAACAGAGCCCAGCTGTTTCTCTGATGTCTCCATGGTGAGAACCCAACGTTAGACAGGCAAGTAGTTATTATCCCTACAGCAAGCGAAGTTGAGCAGGAGCACAAAGGACAGCTCACGGAGACCGAATATGCCCAAGAAGCCCGGCCTACTGGCCAGAATGGAAGGCAGGGGCCATTCTTGTGCTGTTGTTTCAGAATAAAATACTGATGAGTACACCCTATTATATTTGCTGAAGTTGTAGAGCGGTTTCATGTAATGGAATTTAAGTTTGCGGAGTACAAACATCAGTAGGGGGTTACAAAAAGCTCTAACAGTAACAAGGGCTGCAGCCTTCTACAAGTGTCTGGGCAAGTCGAACCAGTGATAACTGCAGATGAAGAAGTCTCTCGCTACTTCTGTGTGTGTGCGATCTGATTGTACACTTTCAGAGAGCTTTCATCTAAGCAGTGGATGTTAGTTAACAGCTTTAAATGTGCCTCCAGAGTGGAGAGAGCAGGAGAGGCACCGGGTAAAGGCAGGTTGCAGTTCTGAGAAGAACAAGGGTATCAAGAGAAGCTCAGGTGGAGGTTTCAGAAGATGCTGCCAGGAGGTAGAATCAGCCCTGTCTCCGGTCTGCCTGGCCTTGCTCCCAAGACCCGGTCAATCCAGGAAAATGGGGTTAGATTGGGGGTGTCCAGCTCTGATGGTCTGCTATAGCTGAGGAAGCAGAATTAACGGGGACATTAAGACAAGTTCGTCAGCTTCCAGGAGGTGTATGATAATCTGTCTAATGTGTTTTATTTCTTTGCTTGTCTGTTTCCTGACCAGCCTTGCTGTGAAACGTTTCAAATAGTGCCGCTCGTTATTCACACACATCCCCGTGTCCGTGTTTTCTCACAAAACATGGGAAGAACAGGTTACAAGTCTGGAAAAACTCCTATTTGGAAATGAAAGAGACATTCTATGTGTGTCTAAGCAGCAGGTATCAAATGTAACCACCGTAAATAAGGGGGTCACTGGAGTCAGAAGACATTTTACTTTGTTTCGGTAGACTTGTTAGGAAAGCTGTCCTAAGAATCCAGCAATAAATGTTCAATGCATAAACCTTAAAAATTGTTAGTAAAAGATAGCTTATTAATTAGTTCATTTGCACTAAAACGTTATGTATGAAATGACAAGAGTTTCAATGTCTGAGACCTCTAATAAAGTTCTCTTGGTTTTGTTAGTGTAATAGCTAGTTAAAATACAACGTTTGAATATTTATTTAGAAATAAGAGGCTGGGGTGGGGGTGCAGTGCAGACGTGTTTCAGAGTCTTAGTGCCATCACCTCTCTCGCGCTCATGGCTGAGATTCTGGAACTTCTAATTGTCCTGTCCTATGTTTTGGACTCCGGCACACTACAACCAACTCTGACTATGGTAATAAAGTACAGATAATTGACAACTACAGATAAACCCCAAGTCTTACATTTCAGCCAGGATCCTTCACACCAACCTCCCATTCTATTTTCCGCCCCTCGAATCATGCCTGCAAACTAGCAGAAGGGACCACATGGCATTGTTTGGGAAGCATCTGCTTTCCACTCCACTGACCATCTGCTGGTGGAGATTGCAGTGAGCAACAAAATCATATTAAAAGGTGGTCACAGAAAGGACCAGGAAGAACAGCACAGAGCCAGGATAACAGACAAAGACCATGGCCAAGAGAACTAGATGCCTTTCTCAAGCCTACATGCCATCCTGTGGTCAGCCACTCAGCTCCCACTGGGTCCCAAACAGGCCTGAACTCAGCTGGGTCCAAGGAGAGAGGCCTGCTGGACCAGTAGCAAGAAGCACTGACTCTTTCTCAGTATTGGCTCAAACCCTCCACACATT